AACTGAACAAATGTGACCTGCTAGAACAAATTTTCAATTAATAACATATTTTTATTTCATTATCCATAAAAAACTTTTATGATAAAAATAGAAATTATGAAAATATTGCTGATATTTCTGATCAAGATCAACAAAAAAGCTAAGATGATGACAATATTTTGTAAAAGGAAAATGCCCTCATTTAACTAAAATTAACATTAAATATTAATGCATAATACAGTACTTTTAATTGTGATCGTTAGTTAATTTCTGATTGCTTTAATAAACATATTTCTCTTAATAACGAAAAAGAATAGTATACATTTGCTAACTTCTTGAATGTAACTGTATGTTTTGCATTAGTCCTTTGTTTTGTATAGCATGGATTTGCATAACATGGCACTTTTTTGGAATATAACTACCATGTTATATGAGGGATATTTGTATTTGGTTCTCCATAAGAATCCTGGATATGCTCTGGCTGAAATTTTCACCCTCTTCAGATTGCCATGCAGTGTGATAAGTATGGTCCCACAGATATGTTGATAAAATTGCAATTTATTCCAATTATTTGCTTCTCCTGCTTAAATCTTCATGCAGTGCTGGTCTTCAAGCAACTGATTCATGGTTTTGGTTGATGGTCATCATTAGAGCACAATTCATGTCCTTCACTAAATTATACACCAGCATATACAAGGCATGTTCCAAAAGTAAGATACAATAATTTTTTATTCATTTTTATCATAGCTTTTTCATGGCATATGCTAGGGTCATCTGTATGGAAATGAGTTTGATATGTTTTATGTTCCAAATATTTAAAAATGGCAGTTTCTTGCTACATGAAAATACAGTTACTTTCTGTAATTTGGTTTCTCCATCCTAAACAATTATCACTGTGGAAATACATAAATATATTTGTTGAAATTTATGAAAAAAACTATAATATCACAAAACAGTTCTTAGTGTGGTGTTCTCAATTTGAAGATGAATGCACAAGTTTGTAAGAAAGAAGTGGAGGCCAAAAATATCAAACAGATCAAACCAGCAAGTTGCATGAAAGAAAAGTTAGGCTGATTGAAAGTTAAAAATAAGGAAGTTTGTTGACGTCCTAGAAATCCCAAAGTAACAGTTCATAAAATTGTTCATAAAACATAATTGACATATTAGGATTCTGTAAAAAATAAGTTATTACAGTTTAAAACATCACAAATCCTAAAATTTTGTAATTATTTGTAAATATGTTTCCTAATATTTTTAAGATACACATTTATTTGTATCTTAAAATATTATGGCTACATATTGGACATAATACTTTGAAAAAATATAAAAACTATTGAAAAGTTTTTGAACAAAATATTGAACTTTTATATAAATATAGTAAAAGTGTTTTATGAAAAAACAGTCAAATCATTCCCTATGAAGCCCTTTTTGTATGCAGATAGCTTACAGTGAAAATTTTAGTTGATCAAGAGTAAAAATAACTGTTAGTTGCAAACATGTGTATAAAATATTTTTTTTAAGTTTTAAAAGCTAAAAAAATTCTTGGTAATTGACTTTTGGAAATTTGTCAAGATTCTGATGAATTGGGTTTCAGGAATTCTTATACCAGAAACCCTAAAACAGACATGACAGTTTACAGACTAAATAACAGATTCACACAAAAATACCCACATCTCACTGTTACAGAGGAAGAAGTGTTGATCAGAAAAGAACAATTATAAATAAGTTTATTCCACAAACAATGCTTGAACATATCAAACAACAAGTTTTGCAGATAGATACATCAAAACGTCACACAGATGATCCCTCACTCACTGACAGTACCTTAGCATAAGTCACTCATAAAAATTTACACAATATAACATGCACTAATGACAATATAAGAACAATAATTAAAACCTGTGAGACACTATAGACACAGAATTAATTTTGACATACTCATAAGTTTATTTTGAAACACTCACTAAATATACATTTTTAGATTCCACACAGACCATGAATATTGAAAATATACACATTGAAACAAATGGGGAACTCTACACTAAATATGCATCTACTGTATTACCAAAACACATTCAACTAGAATTAACACTTCTGGGCATATATACATTAATCTATTCTGGTTAGAGATTGCATTACCAGTAAACAGTTTACCAGTAATTGTATAAAAAAAAAATACCTCAGTAAATATACTGAAAATTGGTAAAAATAGATAATGTATAATAATTTTTGAAGTCAAACATTTATTTGTATACACTTCCATGTATATTTTTATATATTAAAGACATAGAAGTAATCAATTTATTTATTTGAACTGAAAAAGTAGTTTGTCATTTATCTTTTAAATTATTACTTTACAGTTCTTTAAAATTTTTTAAAGTATCATATTACTGCACTCTGCTGACAGTTTGGCAATTTGTTTCTTAACCCATAATACCCATAGTTTAATAGCAATTTTAGTTGACCAAACAAAAAATATTTAAAGTTGAGTGCTCACACTAGTTACTATTTAATCACATAAACTAAAAAATTGCAGCTTGGTCTTTCTTTAGGCAATGAAACTACTGCTTTTTAAAATAGAAGAAAGGAAATTTAATTATAGTGTACTCACTAAGGTCAGCACAGTGAACAAGATATGAGTTAACCTGGATTGGAGGGTCTATGTCAGATGGAAGGAGATAAGTGGGAGTTGACACATGGATCTGATCTCTCTCAGTTGTTATGTTTCTTAGACAATATAAAAACATCTTAAAAATATATCTCATAAATAATTTTATTATTTTCCTTTTTTAAAATATGGGATCCATGTGTCAATCCCCACATAACTCCTTTCACCCCTTTTATTGGATGTAGACCTTCCTGCTCAGACTGGCTCATGTCTACTCTTTTGCCATGCTGACTATAGTGATTGTGTAGTTTTTGTTCACCAATGAGGCAGCAACTAAACAATTATTATGTGCTAATATTTGTATAGAGTCAAAATTTAAAAGTTACTGGTAATTTATTAGTAAATTGGTAATGTTTTGAAAATGTACTGTTTTACTGGTAAGAAAAATGTCAGTAAATTTGCAACCTGTAATTCTGCTGCAATCACTGTTATTACATAACATGGCCTTAAATGACAGTCACAGTTAGAGACAATTAAAACACAGACAGATCATAAATCTGCTTAGCAAAGAAGACTAGAAACATAAATATGTAACATTAGATAACTATTCGGGCTGATATAATATACTAAAAACAACATACTTTTTTCATTAAGTTTAATGTTTTACAAAAATATTCAAGGGTATTAAAACACACACACACACCATGAACAACACAATATGCATGTACAGGAATACTTTGACACTCTCAAACAAAAACTAGCAGCCAAGTTGCAAAGAATGAAACAATATAAAACCTATACCTTTTGAAAAGAACAAAATAAATTATTCACAAACAATATGGCACTTTTCTACAGATGACTAAATACCAAACCCACCATGCAATCATAGCATTATGGTATGCTAACAGAAAAACAACTTGGATATTGTTGGTTTATGTTTTGGTCCAATTCAATCATACAGAAATGAAGCAACCTGGATCAGAGGAAGAAAAACTATGCATAAAACACCAATTATTCCTCATGTTGAAATAAACATACAGGATATCCAAAATGCAATTCAAACAACATACATCTGGTGCAGACAACATTCACAATGTCTGGTACAAAAAATTTATATCTCTGCACTAGGAACTAGCCAAACATTTTATGCACATAGTAAACAATCCATAAGACATGCCAAAATTTCTTGCATAAGATTTCACATACATGAAACCAAAGACACTACACAATGCAGACCAATCAATTGCCTTCCTACACACTACAAAATACACCATCACATAGATCAACACATCTTTCTCATAGAGTAGTGTTTTTCAGCCAGGGGCCATTTGGTCTGGACCACAGAACATTTTAAGAAAGTTACAGGCCAAAATTCAACTTTTGAGGAGCCAAAGCAAACTAGGGTGGCCACAGTCAGAATAAAATATTAAAATTTATCAAAATGATTAAACTTCAATAAGTTAATCTTAGAGAAACATATGTAAATTATTAAAATATTATGCTTAAACAAATTATGAAAGTAAACTTGATAAAAAAATTTTAAACCTAAAATGTTTTGTTATTGGCCCATAATTTGTTTTTGTAAATGAAGACATGTCAAATCTTGCACTTGTATGTAATGCATGCCACTTTTTTTTTTTTTGAAAGATGATTACTTCTAATTTTTAGGCTTATTGCATGTGGATGTTTAGAATGCATATACTTGAAGCTCAAGATACATATGAACAAAATAAAAAAAATTCTGGATAGGAAGTGAAATGGCAAATAAATTTCCACAGCTTTGGAAGAGGGCCAGTTTGTATTTTATTCAATTTCCCTTGTCAAAGGGAAGTGCAATAAAATATGCTCTCAGAAACTTGATACTTTGGAAATTAAAAATACTTGGAAGAAACTAAATAAAAATAGGTTGCCCCCTATAAAGGAAGATGTATTATGTATAATTATTTTTAGAATTTGTAATGTTTTCAGCCATTTCTTGAACTGAATAATAAGAAAACATTTAATTTTGATTACTATACACAAGACATTCCATTATTATGATTTCTATATTTGGTTTGATTTGAGTTCAAATGGGCCATCTCAATGGCCCATTCAAAGAGTTTTCTGTTCTATATGCAAATAAGATAACTGGCATAGGTATTTTAGGCAAAAATAAGCTTCTATTATGAGTTTGGACAAAGAATATAAGTTATAAATTGAATATCACATGCAATAACATGCCTAATTGGGAATAGTGAAGTGACATGAAGCAATTTTCTCAATGACACAGCAACAGCCATATTGACTGCTGTATTAAGTAAAATTTCTTTTAACATTTTTGTTTTTTATTTTATATCATCTTTAAAGTAAAATTTTTGTGTGTTTAGAAAAATGTACCTGATTTTTAAAAATTATTTTCACTTTATTTAATTAGGGATACTCAAATCAGAAACTTCAAAATTCATTTGAAAAATCCATTACAACCAGGAAAGGCAGTTTCTGTAGAAGTTGAACATGTGTTAACACAAAGTTTGATTCCATATCCTTCTCATATAACTCAATCTGAAAAACAACTTGTACTATATCATGGAAATCACTATTTTTATTCTCCTTATCCAACAAGGATTCAAACAACAACTGTTACATTAGCATCTACTGCAATTGAATCCTACAGCAAGTTAAAACCAGTTTCACATACAGATAACATGATCACATATGGACCATATGAAAATGTTGCTCCATTTTCTTTGGTTAGTATTTTTTTTTCTTAATTTATTGATTTTATTGAGATTTTAATAATAAATTTTAAATAAATATTTATTTTGTTTAGAATAAAATGACAGTTCATTATGAAAATAATAATCCTTTCTTAACTGTAACAAATTTGGAACGTTCAATTGAAGTATCTCACTGGGGTGTTATTTCTGTTGAAGAAGTTGTGGACATTAAACATTCTGGTTCAGTCTTAAAAGGACCTTTTTCACGTTATGAGTATCAACGAGATCAGAGTGGTTTTTCATCAGTACGGAATTTCAAAGTAAGAAATAATTACATAATTAAGTATATACAATTGAACATGTCTATCTCAAATCTTGTGGGAATGAGAAAAAATACAACAGAGATTGGTTTTGAATATAGAGGTTCCTACAAAGTAAACAGTAATGAGTTTGATCAGAGGTATGTATTGTATTTTATTAATACAACAGCAAGTACAGTATTTATACTATGATATTAGGTATAAATAAAATTACTTTACATTTTTGACATATCTTAACAGAAATAGTTTATCAATAGTTTCTCATGCTTGACTTTATTTAATCAGTAAGACACAAGCCAAACTTGTAGCCAATAAAAGAAAAGCAACATTAATTGCAACTATGTGTGATATTGCAAGAGATGTTTCTCATCTTCAATTTGTTATCAAAATGTAGTTGCTGAGCTTTTAATTTATAATTGACACTTCAGTCCATAATTTGAGATATAAAGATTTTGGGAGAAACTTATTTGAGATAAACATGGAAAATATATTGAATTTAGACTGAAAATGTAGGGGAAAAATAAATTTAGAGATTTTTCAGATAGACAGGTTCAACTGTATATAATGCTTTTCAATTGCAAATTAACTTCAATGATTTAAAAATCATAAAATTTCAAAAATGTTTTCTTAACTTTTTTTTAATTTAATAACATATTGTCACTTTAATAATTGAATATTGTCATTATCTCATAGCATAATTTATAATTAGGACATTGGAAATATCTGTAAAACATTCATAAAAAGACAGTAATTATATGATAAATGAAAGATATTCATAGAAACATAACCAAACTATTGCCTTAAATGATTGGGCATAAAATGAATATCTTTCATTTTATGCCTGATTATTTAAGGTACAAAGTTTATCAAAAACAATAAATCGGCATTCAAAAATGTTAATTTTAAAATTTTTTGAAAGTTTATTAATAAGTTGTTATAATGCTACTCTTTTATATACAAGGTAGTCTATTTTAATCAATCTAATGAAATCACTTGAAAAATATGCATCCTAAGAAAGAAAGAAATTAAACCTCATCAACTTCATTTTCTTAAAATAGAACCATTTAAGAAAATGAGCATTGCATTCTGTTTTTCACCGATTGTAGTGCCATCTATGATGAAACCAATAGTCCCATCTTGTGTTTCCCTCGAAGTTAACATTTTTGATTTAATGATTTTTTTTCATAGGATGCATATTTTTTGAGTTATTTCACTAGATTGATTAAAATGGACTACCTTGTATAAAGTGGTTGCTATTTTAATGAATTTTATTTTCTAATTCTAACATGTTCAACTGAATTTTAACTTTACTTTTTACAAATATAGTAGAACCTCGAAAACTCGGCCTAATGTGGACCGAAGGGTGGCTGAGTTTGTGAAAATGCCGGGTTATCGGGAATGGGGTTAAAAAAAATAAGTACGAGTGTTTCCTCAGAAAATACTGTACTGTACTTGTATGTATTGTTTACTTGAGAATATAACAGAGAATAAACTGCCCAAATACCCTTAAACAAAGGAAAAGTATGTCCTTTATGAAGGCATAGAGCCTTTACTACATGAAAATGAAAATTAATGAATACACTGTGTACAGTAATTTACCTGATAAGACAGACCTCAGAAAAATACTTTATGAGAGCTTTTATACTTTTATAAAGCTGTCTATAATGAAAATTAATTAACTAAGGATTTTTTGCCCTGCCAGAGTGTGACTGAGTTATCCGGAGTGCCGGGTTATCGAGAGCCGAGTTTTCGAGGTTCTACTGTATTGGAAACATTAAATAATTTACAAAAAATATATTTCTTGGTAGACTATACATACTTGATGAGTCTTTTTCATTCGGTCCTTTCACATGCTGTTGAGGTAATAACGATTCCACGGTGGAGTCGACCTTTTATTGTAGGCTACTTGTCCGCCAATATTATAGTCTACCAAGAAATATACTTTTTGTAAATCTAAATTCGTCTTGGCAATTAAAACATTAAATAAATTATCAAAACAAATCTAAACTATTTGTATTTGGAAATTTTCATTTAATTTAGATTAGCATCTTGCATGTACTATTTTGCTAGTGTAAATTTATTTTCTTTTAATATTTTTACATGATATTTTCAAACAGTGAGAATTTAATTCTTTTGCATTGATTGAAACTGACAATGATTTTTTCGTTTTCAAATAATTAATCAATGTTTATTAATTATTAAAAATAATAATATAATTTACAGTATATTTTTATTGAATAATTTTGAAATATAATTGCATACTTTAGAAAAGTTAATGTAGATTTTGATAATTTTTTAAATTTTTTTAAAATTTAAATTCTTTCAACATCTTTTAATTCACAATAATTAATGTAAACAAAATGTCATTATCAAAGTTTGAATTATTTCAAAACTTCAGTATACATTTAAATTTAAAAAAAATTGTTTAATGGATTTATTACAATGTAGAAAAATTTCATATTTACATTTTATTGTATATGCTGTGTTAAGATATGCTTGGGCAGGCAGAATGGAAAAAAAAGTTTTTTTTCCATTCTGCATTATATGTTGTGGACATCCACATGTGGGTGGGTGGATGAAGTGAATTTGTCATGAGGAAATCTGTCTCATTTTCAAAGAGGCACCATTTCTGCTTGCTTGTTTCAAATCCACAAGGTCGCTAACCCAGGTAACTAGCTGTTAAAACCTTGTAGCACTTCATTAACAGAAATAATTTTTTTGAGGGTGAGCAGCCTATTTCTTTTACAATTTATAACTTGAATTTCTCTTATGGTGCAAAACTTTGTAGAATTATATAATTTGCAGTATCCTTTTTTAATGATAGGCAACTCACTAACTGCTAATTCTTTGTGGTTGTTATTCATACTGAGAAAACATGCTTCATCTGAATACTTTTGCTTTCTTTTGCTCTAAACTCTACTTGATTCACTACTATAATTCCACTCCTTCAGTCCATCTCTCAAAGTACATTTATGTTAATCCTGTGGGAGATCCTACCTTACCTCAACATACAAGGTGTAGGGTAGGATCTCTCAAACCTCACTGTTTATTCTGAACTTGTGAAATGATGGGCATTGCAACTATAGTTTTTTATTATTATTTCTGTAATATGCCTTCTTTCTAATGATGTAAAATACTTGTGAATTGACAAAAAGGCACATGTTATGTTTATTTTTCATAACTTGATCCAAAAATGTAAAAAATAAACATGTCAAATTTCATTTTGATGTGAAATAAGTTGAGTTTTGTAGATTGACATTGGATTTATAATTGAAGAGGGATATGTTGTCTTTAAAGAAATGAAGTTTTCCTACCCTAACCTCAAATGGGAGATTAGCAATAGTCAGCACTGACCCTCCACCCCATCTAAATGTAAACAAACTGACTGAAGCTATATTACACTCTAAACCAAAGCTTCCATTCAACATGTGAATCCTTCAAATGACAACATTTTTTTCTTTTTTTTTTTATTTGGAAGAATATTTTATTTAACATATAACAGCCATTTTTGGCTAGAACTGATTATTTTAATTTTTTTTTTCTGTGAGATTAGTTCATGAGGTTATCAAAAATCACTTTTGCTTTAAATGTTACAGAAAATATCAAAAATTTTGTTGTGAATGTTTCTTATAAGAAATGAAGCAATAAAAAAAAATATGCAAGAATCTTCAAAAATTTGGCAAGCAATTATATGATTGATTATTAAGTTATTAGCTTTATATCTTAAAAAAATTATGGAAATTTTATTGAATACATGCATTTGTCACAAGGTATTGCTAACACTGTTACGAAATAACTTAGAATTGTAACATTTTTGTTCATTATCAAAATTAATTTTTTGGTTTTTCTGCAATGCAGTACTCCCAATTAAAATTAATTAGAAATAGACATGCATTGTCACTTTGTATTTTTATCATATAGTGATAGAGATATAAGAGAATGGATGCAAAATATAAAATAAATTTATTATGAAAATACCATTATTTAACTTATTGTTGTAGAGCATTGTGCTCATTCAAATATTGGTATATGATTTCATAATGTTTTAACTTTACATTTTAATTAAAAATTGAGAAATTAAATGAATTATATGGAAATTTTTAAAAATAGATTGACATAAATGTAGATTCATAACTGCAAGCCATGCTTGTGACAGTCACTTGCTTTTGCAAATGCTAATGCCTACAAGTATTTCCTGTAACAGGTACTGTACATGATTGTTTGCATGGGATCTAACAAAGTACTTTTATTTCAGGAAATATTTATACAAAGAAACATACTGGTATGTTGATGGCGAAGCAATCTTTTCAAAATTTTAAAACATTTTTGTCAATCAAAAAGAGGCTTGAAGATGGTTGTCTAGAGATAGATGTTCTCACATGAATTGTGGAGAATTAAATCAACAATCTTGTCATATCTTTTCATTTATTAATTAATTTAGAATAAAAATACATAATACAGTTGACCCTCGCCCATAACACGGGTTCCTATAGTTCGGATTCCTATATCATGGCGAAAAAATTGCGACAGTATTCGTACAAATATGCTAAAAAAAATTCCTATAATTCGGTAAAATGTCATCGCTGACTTGTGTCACGACAGGATTGGTCAAATCTAGACCAATAGTGGATATTGTACAACCGTTGAGTTTAAACGAGCAGGGGACCTACTAAAAACAATTTATTATTTAATGGCCATAAAAATTATATTTATATTAATGATGTCTCCAAAGTTCAGTGAATTTTTTGCAAAAAAAAATAATTTATCAGAAAGCACGCAAGTGCCATTCGATGACAAGCTCCACAACGAAAACAAGTTTAAGCAATGGCATCGTCGAACGGTGCACACTCGGTAAGTAATCTTACGATTTTTTGTTTACAGCAGAGTTTATATGGATTATTCCCAAAAAATTATACGTATTTTGGAATGGTGAGTCAAATTAGTCTAGAATCGATTAATTTTATGGAAGAAACCTTTCAAACAGCCATAGTCCGTAAACTGCATATGTGCCGGGCTGTGATTGGCCAGACTCGTAGAAAATTGATTCATAAAAACTGGAACGTATCTACCGTGTTATAGGGGGTCGACTGTATATTTCTTTTAACTTGATAATTTTTAATTATTGATCTTTTGAATATAATTAATATTTTCTTATTGGATTATATATTTAGACCATTCTTCCTGCTTCTGCTGTCGATGTTTATTATAGAGATGAAATTGGGAATATCTCAACAAGCCATTTAAGAGTTATGGAAGATTCTGTGGAAGTTGAATTGAGACCACGATTTCCCTTGTTTGGTGGCTGGAAAACTCACTATGTTTTAGGATATTATGTTCCAACATATGAATATCTGTATAATTCAGGTCTGTATTAAAATATTGTAGTGTATAATTAATATAATATTGTTCTAGCAATCATTTATTTATGTACAATTTGAAAGTAACAAATAGATAACAATCCATTAAAATGGAAAAATGTAATATGTACATAAATTAATACTCCAAACAAGAAAATTTTTTTCTAAAAGCTAAAGAAGAAAAAATTGTGGCAACCCATTTTGTAAATGTAGAGTTTTGAATGAATTATCATCATTCACTGGTTTGATTTAGTTTAAAACATTTTAAAACATAAAATTGTTCATTTATATTACAGGAAATTTTTAACATTTTTTTAAAGGCAATATTATGTTTGGTTAAGAGAGAATTCATTAAATTTGCATAAAATAAGTTTAAAATAAAAACTTATAAATATGTTATAAATATACATATGAACTTATAAGTTATAATTATAACATTTTTTTAAATAAAATTCTTTTTCCTAATTCTTTTCAAATAAGAAAAATCCTAATTTTATTTTTCTTTAATATTTAAATATTAATGAGATTGAAATTATTCAGTAGTTTGTTATAAACAAATGAAACTTAATAGTAAAACAGTAAATCTTTTTTTCCATTAGATATTTTTACTTTTATTAATAAATAATGTAATTTTTGCTCTGAAATTATATTCTAAGAGGAAACTTCACAATTATATTTTAGGTGATCAATATGTTTTGAAAATGAGATTTGTTGATCATATTTTCGATGATAGTGTTATTGATGAAGCTAAATTAAACGTTATTCTTCCTGAAGGAAGCAGGTTAGTCTTAATTTGTTTTATTTAATTACCTGCAAATATAATTACTATAACAACTCATATTTTTGATTTTCATTAGAGACATCCAAGTTAAATTACCATATCCTGCAAAACGTGGTGCAGATCAGCTTCATTATACCTATTTGGATACTGTTGGACGACCAGTTGTGGTCTTCTCTAAACAAAATTTAGTAGAACAACATATACAAGATTTTGAAGTAATAATACTAATACAATTTGTTTTTAATACTGTTTTTTAAATAATTTAAATATATTTTGTGTTTTTAGATTTATTACAAATATCAAAAAATACTGATGCTTCAAGAACCTTTACTCGTTGTGATTGCATTATATTTACTTTTCTTATTGGTCATCATTTATGTAAGATTGGATTTCACAATTACAAGGGTAATGTATCTAAATTTATTATTATTTATTGATTTATATTATGTATTTAATGTTGAAAATACTGAATAATTTCACACAGAATTAACCAATAATGGATAATATTATTTTATTTGTTAGACATTTGTTATATATATTCATCAATAATTCAAAATTATTAGCCTTTAGTTTTAGTAATTTATGTAAAACAACTTTTATTTATTTAACATATAGATCTCAAAAATCAGATTAAAAACAGTTCCACAAAAATATTCTTACATGTATTTAACATCTTGACATTGTTTTTGCAGTTTGCAATAACATTTTTTATTTAAAATTTCTTTCTAAACTACAACACTTGTTAACAGATAAGAGTTGTTAGTGAATATTGCATAAAATTTTCTGTTGTTTTCAGATATCCATTAATCTTTCTTTCAAAAAAGAAAAAAACTCTCATATCACATTTATTTTTAATATCTTTCCCATGTTAGATACCATTTCAGGTTAGATGACAATTTCCAGATTGAATTAAGTAATTTTCATTCCCTACAATAGTGATAATAACATTAGAAAAATTTTATTAATCTTTATATACTTTTAAGTTATGAAATGACTTAAGAATAATGCTATTGAATTTTCTCTCAATCTTTCACATTAATGTATCTTTTAATCATTTCTTATTGATGTGTGATGTATTACAGTTTAAAGGTGCATACAGAGTTGAGTGCTCATGGTTTGAACATGCATACATTTATGCTTGCTCTACATGTGCATGCACAGGTCTTTTTGCTGATACCATGTATTAAATTCCAAACATTTGTCATTACTCCATTTCATACCTCCAATTATCTGAACAGTACAGTTAACTAACTCTGACAGTAGCAGATGTGTGCAATAATAGTGTGCAAATGATTTCTTTTGAGTGATGGTGAAAAACCAGCAACAGCTATTTCATGTGTGTGCATATGTTGAGATGATGTCCATATCTGCATATTTGTGCATGTTCATGCCTGTATACACAGGTTTACACACAGTCAAATTTCATATTGATCATGTGTGTTTATATTATGGATAAGATCGAAGACGCTTAAAAATGAGCTGTTATTTTGGTCTCTCCACGGACTCAAGTTAAAACATGTCCTAATATTAATGTTTAAAACTTAAATATGACAAATTCCTGAATTGAAATGTTTAAAGTATTGATACGTATAGTAGTAATTTTGATATATCTTAGAATTCAAATTCAAATATTATGTTTTTGTTTCAATAATGAGTGCCATCTGGAATTTATATAAGATATAAAAAATAAATTTCTGACCTAACTCACAATAGATATCAATTAAAATTAAATAATAATATAAAATTAATTTTATTATATTAGTATGCATAATGTTTGTTTTTTATACATATTTATATACAGGGACAAAAAGAGAACTTATCTTTCCAGCACTGATTAGATTATGTTCTGGACTGCAGTGGATGCAAATATTATGCCACCATGACATGCACTCATTCTGCTACTAGCACAACATGCAAAGGATGCCACATAGCAATTTGAGTTATGCAACATGTTAAATTTACTGCATGATGAACATTAACTTCTTTAGTAAATCTTCTGAACTGACAAGGTACTATTTTTTCAGAGAGTTGTATATAACTGTCGTAATATGAACTACAGGGCAGTGTGTGTTCCACAATGCATGTGATATATGGAACACCAAAATGTGTTTAGGATAAATATCTGGTATGGAATTTGGTGTGAGCAACTTCTTGGTCCTGTATGCATTGATGGCATCCTAGATAGTGACTGATATCAGAATATCCTAAACACAACAGTGGATAAATGATTTGATGACTTGCCATTAGTGCAACTACAGCAACTTTATTTATTACCAGCACAATGGCCTGCCACCTTGTTCTCAGACAGATGTGCATCAGTGGCTTAGAGTGGTTTGGCAATTATTGGACAGAATGTGACTGTTCTATGGCCACCACATTACTCAAACTTTATTTTTCTTGATATTTCTCCTGTGGCCCTAAATGCTTTGGGATATGATATGTATCCTGCAGCACCACAGGAACTGGAGATACACAAGGCCTGCAAAGGTGCTACCAGGAAGGAGGTCTATTCTAAGTTGTAATGCCAAGCTAATGAATGCAACAAAAACCAGTTTTTATCAGAATTACATGATTGGCATTTAGTCAGGCATGAAAATGCTATTCTCTGATGTATGTTTTGTTTTCATTTCCAATAGCCATGTGCAATAAGTATGTTCCTCTTATCAGTCACTTGAGCTACTGTTAGGAATGTAATGAAAGTAAAAAGAACATACTATCCTTACACCTAAAGCTGCCATTACTTTGCAAGTTAATATTCTCTCTCTAATTGATCACAATGCCATGAATCTCGGTTTCTGTTTAAAGATAATGTTTTTCAGCTAAATAATATCTGTTTTAAAGAATGCTATTGTCTTCCAAAGTCATTAGTGTTGTATTTATGTAATGAATTATTAATACAAGATAAGCATCATTGTCAGATTAGTTAATTTAGATTCTTCTATATTGTGGATGATGATTGACTGCTAGATAATCAATATATGCATCATATATACTGTATATATTCATAAATTCCTTAAAAGATTTATTTACAACATAATGTAAAAACTACTAAATATTTAGAAAATAAACAGCTGATTAAATTGAATTCCTATAATTTTGTTTGCTCTCCATTAACTGAATGCTTGATAGCCATCACACATAAGATGACATGCACAGATAAAATGATAATAGTATTCTGCATTTAAGAGAATGCATGGCCATAAAAAAATTAGTATGATAGTAATCAGTTCAAAAAGACAATGTAAAATTAGAGTTGAAAAACTCAACTTTAGATCTAACTCAAAGTCAGATAACAACTGGACTCTCTTCTATTCAGATAAAAATATAACTGTGTGGTTTTGCAACTAAAGCATTAATCACCTTTGAGGGAAAATGTTTGAATTGAAATAACAGAAGTTCTAATATAGTTAATTGGGGCATCCTGCCCCTCAGGTTTCCATATCTGGTTGCATCTTTCATCTATCTAATTCTGTTCTCAAGATAAAGGAAATACAGATGGACAGATGACAGTGAGAATTTATAGGTCTACAATTTTTTCAAATTGCAGCCCAATTAGTTGTGTGTTTTAATAGAAGAGATAAATATGAATGTAATTGCATAAGCATCAATAACTGATTTTAAACTAAACTGTCAATCTTCTCAAGTAAGAGTTAACTGAATTTATTTGGCATTCACAAAATCAAATTTCTTGCAAACTCTAGATTTAATCAGAATTAAAGTTAAATGTTATAGAATATTGCTGTTAGAGATTGATAGCTGAATGATAATACAACAAGGGGTGTTCAAAAAGTATCGGACCTTTGGTTGGCAAAAATACATTTATTGATTTTGAGGTACAAAACCATAATCCCCTTCAAAGTAGTCTCCTTGGTAATGTATACACTTCTCCCAGCGCTCCTGCCACTGCTGGAACACATCTTTTGGAATGGCCATCAGCCAGTCTGTCGCATTTCGCATGATGTCTTCTCTTGACTAAAATCGGGTTCGTTTTAGTGGCATTTTCAGTTTGGGAAATAGCCAAAAGTCACACGGAGCCACGTCGGGAGAGTACAGATCATCATAAACCACAGGAATGTTGTGTTTGGTGACGAAAGTCCGAATCAGATGCGCAGAATGGGCGGGTACGTTATCATGATGGAGCTGCCAAATTTTGGTTGACCACAGATCCGATCGTTTATGTCGCACAGCATCACAAAGACGACAAAGGACCTCCTAGTAGTACTCCTTTGCGATGGTTTGGCCTTGTGGTGCATACTCAGGATACACCACCCCACGGGAGTCGAAAAAACTGTCAACATGACCTTGGCATTGCTTGCTGCGGACGGTCCTGCCACGTTTTTTTTGGCCTCGAGGATCATCCCCGAAAGTCTGCTGAATCTTGTGAATGGTTTCCGCTTGGGTATTGCCAAGATTTTGGAAAAAATTTTATACAATATCACTGCTCACATTGTTCAGTCATTTTCCAACTTGTGGAATCTGATGAGCACTCACTACATGTCCTCACTCATAGGCCAACTGCCAGCAACTGACACTTCCTGCAGGCGGGAAAAAATTCATGACTATGCATGACTGTCCCCTCCATAACTCCACTGAAAGAGACCTCCTGTGCATCATTGGTTTACATGGGAAAAATAAAGGTCCGATACTTTTTGAACACCCCTCGTATATGCACTTAATTTAAATATTATAATGAAATTAATTAAAATTTAGAAAAATTTAATTCTCAAATTGTTTTCTACTTAGGATCCACAGAAAGAGAGCAAATTACGTGTATCCGGTCTGATCGAATGTATTCAGAATCATCATGAAAAGCGTGCAGATATCTATTCAAAGTATGACAATGCCTTGAACAAATACAAATCCAATAAAGACACTGCTTCCTATCAAGCAGGAGTCAAAAACATTAATGCTGAACATAAGAATGAGACCCAGGCCATTGCAGATCTTTTGCAAAAACTTAAACAGGAAGGATCGGAATCTATAGATAAGGTAATGTACGCATAAACAAACGAAGAAAAGGGTTTCGGTATTTAACTAATAAATAAATTTTGCTTTAATATTTAGATTGTGGAGCTGCAACGACTAGATAAAAGCTTGAAAGACCAATTTAACCAACAGATGATGTTGGTTGAAAAGCTCATTTCGGGAAAAATGGGAAAGCAACAGTATGTGGATGCAGAGTCACTGATTTTGAAGAAGAAAGAAGAGATTGCTGAAAAAATACAAAATGTTTTGGCATCTCTTTAATTACTCTGAGTATCACTTTTATTTTTAACATCATTCCATTTATTTGTAATTGCATACATTGTGTATGTTTTTGATGGATTGGTAATAGAATGTACTGTATTCATCAGAATCATTAAACATTTGTTCTTATGAATAAATTGTTAACAAATAAGGAAAAGATTTTTGTTTTGATTACTCAAATTACTTTGTTTTTGAATAATTCTGAATTTAGCTAAAAATTATATCTACCAGCAGATTTTAATGTATATTTGAAAAACCTAAGAATGTTTTTAAAGTTAGTCAAAATATATATGTTTCATATTAACTTTAACATGAATCCACAATCTTACAAAAACACGACATGATAAAATTACTCAAGACATCTTTGTATGCAGCAAAAACAATGAAATTAATCATTTTCAAAAATTATTGAGAATGTTAGAACTGCAACTGTGGATATTCATTTAATTACTATTTATTGTCACAATAAAGCATTTTAAAAATCATTATTAAATTTGATGCCTACATATGAAGGCTTATTCTGAACTATTACATTTACACAAGCTAGCTTCAAAAAGTTTCCACAATTATGCTGGGTTAGTCAATTAAAGGCAATGAAAAAGGGAACATGCAATGCATGTCTTACCTAAACATGTCAGGAACAGAGAAATGTGTTCAAACAAATCTGTACTTGCTGCAAAGATGACAACAGTTGCCATTTCACTGAAGGTTGTGTTAATGAGACATTGTGAAACAGAGTCTGGCAAAAATGTCTGTGGAAGAACATGTATCAAATTTGTGTTATTGGGGGAAACCCCTGAGACCTTGAAGATGCTTTCATGAGGGACGAGAAATTATTGCCGATGATTTCCAAAGTGGTTGTCTGTCGACATCAACATCTGAGAAGAGAGTGTTGTTTGTACATGAGATTGTGAGGTCAGACAGGCAGCAGTCAGTTGAGCAGATTGTCAAGGCAGTAGGAATTTCTGTTGGAAGTTGTCATTCCATCCTGCACCATGTTTGCCAACACAGTGCCACAAGTGCTCATAGTGGACCTTGTGCAATTTCTACCTCTTCCCAGTTGAAAGATGCCATTAAGGAGTGCCGCTTAAGAAGACGCTTCAAGAATGCAGATGAGGTTATACAGAGTGTGACATCTGTGTTGCAGGCACTGTCACGGGATGGCTTCCAAGAATGTTTACAGCAGTTATACCAGCATTGGCAAAAGTGTGTGGGTACCAAAGGACAATACTTTGAAGGACATGCTTGATTTGTCAATTGTACACATACTATGAGTAATAAACCAATTCTGGGAACTTTTTGAGGCTAACTTATAAGCTAACCTATTCATTCATACAAATCTATTTTCTTCAAATTTGGTTCAGTTACTTCCAGTAAATTTGTCTGGTATAAAAACAGTTAATTTTCATTATAATTATTTTTTTTTAGCAAGCCCACTATGGGATGGCCTGGTGGTGAGGGACAAAGCCTGCCTATCCAGATGAACTGCTTCCAAAAAATTTCTGGGGATTTTTTTGACCCATCCTGGTTTGATCCCAAGTCCCCAGAGTGGTAAGCTGCCACCTCAACCACTTGCACTTGGCCTTCTGGCTATCTATGGGAATATGCTATGGATGTATAAAAACATTTTATATATCCATAGTATACTCCTAAGCTTGCAGCAACTGTGGACCAAGGCTATTCAACTTGGTGTCCCAGGTGATTCCAGACATGTTTGATTGGTGACAAATTGGGACTAGGCAGGCCTGTGACACCCTTGCCTTGTGTGGTTGGGCATTGTCCTGTTGGAAAATGGCTCTTGGGAGCCCCGCCAAGAGAGGCAACACGTGTGGCTTTGGGATGTCACGGTCCCCAGAATCACTAGTAGAGGTGACGGGTTGTCATTAGGGATTGCAATTGCTGGATCCAGCACATTTTTCGGCCTGTTGGATCCACCAGGTGCTGGATCCAGAGATGCGGATCTGCAAATACTCAATTAACTTTCTAAATAATGGCACCAAAAGTCTACATTGTCGGCCTTGCCGCTTTGCTACGTGTGCTATCGCTCGGCGGCAAGAGCGACGTTGCTGTTCAGTGCGGCAAATGCTACACCCCTTCTCTACACCGCACTGCCCACCCTTTTAACTCTACTGATCTAATTGCCAGTTGACTTTCCATTCTCACTAAATAAAGTGTCTTCATGCTAAATAAAGTAAGTAACTCTTATCCTAGTCCTGATGCATAATTCTAATTTATGGTCAGTTGTGATGTCAATGAATCATGTGACGGAACGATTGCAGTTTAAACTGGCCATAGAATCTCTCTGCAGAAGAGTCGAGTATGATAACTGCTGACACAACCCTGAAATTTGTCTTAGACAAACTAAAAAGCCAGGACACAATCTTGAGTGGCAACCTTTCTAAGGCACTCCACAAAAGAATCAGAGAACGGCATCTTACCGAGGTCACAGGGATGCTGATTTACATACAGAACCCGAAGAAGTATGACCAACAAGTTAGAAAGCTTTATCTTTCACATGCAGAAAAAATGTAATGCACCAGGAGATGAAAAATATGCTGAATCGTGTAAATACATATGTAATGGAACCAGTAGCAATGGCAGAGGATATTACGAAGGTGGAAAACGATAATTCATATAACCCAGATTCCCTGAATTTCACATTGGAACAAAAATTAGAGATCCAACTAAAGCATGAGAAAGAAAACTCCATGAAACAGAAAGAAACTAGTACGGAGAAGGATTATAAGTTATTAAAAAAGGAAATGGCTGTTTATGAAAGTGAGGGAGTCAGAGGTGAAAACTTATCTTTGATTTATCATTATTTGATGACACTGAAACCAACTAGCGTAGAGGCAGAAAAGGCCTCCGCAGCAAAATATATATGCAGTTCATTAAGTAGTAGGTTGGGAGACAACACCATCAATACCATTTGTTTCTTGAGATCCTATTTCCAGAAAAGTAAAAAAAAACAACAACAGAAGTGATTGATTTAATTTTATTTAATCCTTTAAAATACTTTATTCAAGTCAAGACTAATATTTTATAACTTCTACTCTAATTCTATTAAGTAAGAGTTTTTAACTTTTATTCTATAAGTGGTTAGTGGGCTAGGCTAGACAATTTTATTGTTAAAATTAGTGAGAAACTGAGGCTATCTAGTTAGTTAAATAGTTAATTAAATTATTGAGTATCAGTATCTTAGATATATGATGATATGAATGTACGTGATTCATGATTGTGATAATAATAACTAACTACTAGACTACTACTAATTACTTACTCACTACTTTATTAACACTAATAATTAAATTACTTATAAATAACTACAGACTGATATGTAGAGCCTATATAAGAAAACTGGTAAGACTGATAGCCGTTTAGCCACTGATTATCCGTCCTTACGTTATTATAATATAATATATTAATATAAATTAATTAGTAGAATTACCTTTGCTATTATTTAACATAAAGAATCTAACTAAACATTGAAAGTTAATTATCTCTATCTCAAGTGTTAAACTGAACCAAAGTTTACTACCTAAATGTGTAAGAAGTTTTACTGATTTATAGTGACCAATCTAAATAATAAAAGTTTAAGTATTTTTAAAAAAAAGTGTTTTATTTCTTTAAAAAAACCCATAAATTTCTGGATAGATAGATAGATAACACTTTATTGCACCAAAAAACATCCACGCATCACTCCAGCTGGAATGATGTTGGTCCAGCAAAAATCCAGTTGGATTAAAAACACTGCTGGATTGCAATCCCTAGTTGTCATATGTGATGGCTGCCATGATACCAAATGTTCCTTGAAATGATATGGACAGACACGGGCCTGTAATGATAGTGGTAGCGCCATCTGAGCACAGACAATGATACCATCAGCTGTATGCATGCTTGTCTCGAGGACCAGGCAATCTGCTGAAGGCATCGTGAGCCTGGGTGTCTCTTATCCACTGGTCCCAACACCAACTCGTTGTCAGAAAGGCTTAGGTGGTGGACTATTTGGCAAGCTGGACCATCCAGCTTAACTCAATGATCCTTCCCCTCTCAAACTGTTAGTTGTTCATTTGATTTGATGCATTGCTAGTGATAGTGACCCTCTGCAACAGGTAAAGATAGGATGCCTTTGCATGCTTTTTTTATAGGAAAAGGGGGATGCACTTTAATGCCCTCTGCTGGCATTATGCTATAACTCTAATCATTTCCATATGTACAGTACTTTAGACTTATCTGAATGCCAAGTTTTGCAGGGATACAACTCCTCCTCAGTGTAGTAATTTTTATGGCAATGAGTGTAAAATGTATGCATCTCAGGATTTCTCTACAAAAATTTTGCACAGATCCACTTCCAATGCCTTTTATGGTGATACTTGGATAGGCATTTGAATTCACACTAATCCTTGCAATTTCATTTTCCATTTATTGATATTAGCAGATCCTTTGTAAAATAATAATCTTCAAATTTTGACTAAATCATGGAACAACTTTATTGCTGCTTAATCTGATCATTGCTTTAATCCAGATTTGTTCTTAATTTAACTGTTTCATATACTGAACAAGTTTTTTGCTTTTTATGAAATCTTTTATGGGATTCTTTGAGAACACAATTCAAATTAGGGCTGAAAATAATCTTATTCATTTTTAATACTAGTCTATATAGTTTAATACTAGAAATCTAAAAATTTTTTAAAAATATATTAAAACTTTTTATTTCTGTTTAACCTTTAAATGCGGTTACAGGTGTAAAAAATTAATCAGAGACAAAGCCAATAACTAAGGTGTTCAAACATTAGTATTTATTATTACTATGCATTTCGGGTGTATTTTTATCTGTTTTACACTCCTTTTCAGATAATACAAAACTAAAATAGGAAAAACATAAAAATAGTAATAAAAAAAAAAAATACAATACAATATCCAAATAATTCATATATAAACTCTTTTTTTGCAAAAACAACAAAAAAGCCCGTTTATACATTTTCCATCCACCAGTCATCATTCCAACAACATTGGTCTATTTGTGCGCTTTTTAAATCCTACTACATCTATCCACACATCCTCTAATTCCATTCCATTATTTAAATCAATAGTATTATGCGCACTTACAATTGTTACATGTTCTTTAAATCTACGCAAGTACAAACTTTTTCTTTATAAATTATTTTAACATTATTTTTATCAATTACACATCCAAATTGCTTACAATGGTTTGTCCATGGCAATTGATCATTTTTTAGTCTAATCACAGGTTCATGTTCTTGGACTCTAACCCAGAGCAGTCTTCCCGTTTCACCTATGTAAATGACTGGTTCTTCAGGTACATTTTAACTCATACTACCCCAACTTCATTTAGCTTTTCTTTATTTTTAACTTTTTTTTTTTTAAATTAGCTGCTAACACTATTCCATATTTTTTAAAGACATTTTTATATTTTTCATATACTACACCTTTAATAGAAGGGAATGACATAATATATATATCTTTTTTATTTTTAACCATAAATCTATTTTTTGTAAATTCCAATATCCATTTTTTTAATAATTTACTGGGGTAGTCGTTTAATAAAAATTTGTTTGTTAACTCTCTTTGTTCTTTTTTTTTCTATCTTCTACTTTAATTAATCATTCTGATCCAGATCTTAGACAATGCCATCACAAAATTATTCCTTTTAATTACTAGAGGATAATACAAATTATAATTTAAAGCCTTATCCACATTACAAGATTTTTATATGATTTTACATTAGGTACATTTTTACTGCAATTTATATCTAATTAATCAATCCCATTTTTATTTTCTAGGTCACATTCAAATTTTAAAGTTTCACTAAGAGTATTTGCATAATTACAGTATCATTTGTTATTAACATATCATATACAGAAGTATTATTATTATTATATCAACAACATATCTTGCTATAAAAATTATTCCATTTAAATTTGCTAATTTTTTAAAATCTATTTCTATCATACATATTTCAGCTAGTTTAGGGCCAGTTACTGTGCCCATACTTATTCCATTTCTCGGCCTATATTTTTTCACTAATATAAAAATAACTGTTAACAAAACTATATTTTATTCCAATAACCAGTTATGTATATATAAATTAATTAAGCTATTTTCAAAAGCTGCAATTAGACTAAAAATGATCAATTGCCATGGACAAACCATTGTAATCAATTTAGATGTGTAATTGATAAAAAATAATGTTAAAATAATTTATAAAGAAAAAGTTTGTACTTGTGTAGATTTAAAGAACATGTAATAACTGTAAGTGCACATAATACTATTGATTTAAATAATGAATTGGAATTAGAGGATGTGTGGATAGATGTAGTAGAATTTAAAAAGCGCACAAATAGACCAATGTTGGTGGAATGATGACTGGTGGATGGAAAATGTATAAACGAACTTCTTTTGTTGTTTTTGCAAAAAAAAGTTTGTATATGAATTATTTGGATATTGTATTCTATTCTTTTTATTTTTTTTACTATTTTTATGTTTTTTGTATTTTAGTTTTGTATTACCTGAAGAGGGGTGTAAAAAAGATAAAAATACACCCAAAATGCATAGTAATAATAAATACTAACATTTGAACATCTTAGTTATTGGCTTTGTCTTTAATTAAATGCGGTTACAGGTGTAAAAAATTAATGGTTATTTATTTCTTTTTAACCTTTAAATTTTAATATATTTTTTAAAATTTTTAAAGAAGAAAAACCGCACCATTGATGTATACTTAAAATATATAATTAAATATAAGTCAAGAAATCTAATTACTGTTACAATAGACAATATCTATTGAAAATCTATAACAATCTCAAATGCTTTCCACAGGATGAATGAGTTTTTACATAAACCAATATCCAGTGTTAACATTAAAATTTTTTGGTAAATGATAATGAAAATTTGCCATTTGCAAGAGAGATAAGTCATAGTTAATATTGAACATTAGAAATATGAATTTCAATGTATTACAATACACATACAGTACAAGAGTGTTGAGAAAAATAAAAGAATCATATTTACTTCAAGTGTGTTCTTGAAAAAAGTTTACAAAACTTAATGATAGCATTTTCTCAACAAAATAATTAATTTTATCAAGGAAAATGTACAAGGTAATATGTTTGGGATGTACCCCAAACTTATCACACTACATTCTCTCTAAAAAATTAAAAAGTGTAGAAAATAAAGTAATGCAATTAGAGGTTCTAATTGCATTACTTTATTCTAACTGTCAACAACAAAAAGTATTTAAAACTTAATAATGATGTTTTTTCTTACCATTTATAAAATATCCAATAATACTTATTTTTTCATCTTGGTTTAAGAGAATTTTACGAGATTGTAGGGCAAGAATGCATGTCATGCACTCTCCCATTTTATGAGCAATTTCATTCACAGAATAAATACGATTTGATCCTACTTGTATACTTCCCACCAACTAAAATACATGACAGAAGCAATCTGTATCATATGACAAAGACTTTTTCAATCTTACAGATCAATCCATCTTAAATGAAAAGTATATGCAGCCTTGTATCTCTGTGACTAAAATAAGCTGCCATCTTGTTCTAATGGATTATCCCAGTTCAGTTTGGGATCAACCGCTCTAACATTCTTCCTTGATGAGTTTCCAATGATGTCCCGTCAACACTCAGACCAATAAAGACAATAATAGCCAAACACTTGGAGAAACGTAATGAAAAAAATGACGTAGCTAACAGATGGGACAAAATATTTAATGAAATGCACAAAAAGGATCTTGAACCAGCCCTTTTGTCAGGAACTACAACTTCTGTAAAAAGAATATTTACACTGGTGGATTCTGCAGTCAAAAGAGAAGTTGACATTAAATACTGAAGCCACAAAAGTAATGCTAATTATAAAGCAAAACTGCAACTTACAATGTGGTAAGTTTTATGAAGATGAATTTAAGTTCTGGTCACTGGCAATTTTATCTGAAAAATATGCTTGTTTTTGACTTCATGAAACCTACATCAACTTATTTTCATTATATATCAAATTTAATATCACTTTATTGTTATATTTTCAAAAATTCTGTATTCTTTTTATGTCGCCAAATCAATATTAGTAATAATGTACTAAAAAATTGTTAATAATGCCCATGTACTGTGATTCCTCTGTGCCATTTTGGTACCAATAAATTATGGCCAGCCCATGTAATTAATATGAGTAAAACACTGTAATGTTCAGTAATCTGTGCCGTGCATTATTCCTTTGTACAATTAAAATTGATGAGAATACAAGTTACGTAATTTATGGACAATCTTTGGGGCTGGATCAGTGAGTAGTACATTGGATACTACTCACTGATCCGGCATTGTCTGGTATAATGTCGATAAAAATTAAGATCAATAAATAAAAAATAATAGTAGTAATAAAACATAGGATACCAATTGAAAGGATACTGTTTTACAAAAGTTGTTACCAGACAATGAAAAACTACAAGACGATTTCCTTCATATATTTTGATTAATCCTGCTCATTGGAATTCCTGTTTTCAAATCGAGATGACCGGTCTGGTCCAGGTATTGCTGGCAACAAGAAACAATGGAATGGAGCTTTCCAAGTACCATTGGCAAAACTGACTTTTCTGGCAGTCTTTTATCAACTCTTAACCCTTAACTGGTTTTATGGGGGCCGCACGGCCCCCACGCGTCATATTTTTACGATTTTTTAAAAAACTAAATATCGTGCGCAGCTGCCATTTTATGTAATCTCATTACGTCGCGACTCTTAGCGAGTGCTAAATGTTCGGCACTGTAGCACTTACAAGGATGGAGCTACGTACCTTCTGGGGGCTGCGCAGCCCCCACGATACCAGTTACGTTGGTTTTTTGTGGAAATGTGTTTTTATGGTTTTCTTATTTTTAAAATTATTTTGCAAAGATATTTCAATCTTTCATCAAAAATTCAAAATGACTACCAGAGAATCATTTGAACTGCTAGTAGATGATGATAATATACAAATTGCTAGATCAAGCCGAAATCTCCTGAAAAGAGTATGTTGTCATTTTGTGCTGGAAAAAAGATGGTAAGTATGCTACTAAGTGCAACAGTTGTTTGAAATTTATTTGCAAAGTGCATAGTACTACAAAAATACTATGTGATAACTCTCAAGACTGAACTACGTAATTGCGCTAAAATGTTCCTGAGTCTTAAAAATAGAAGTGATTATATTACCTGTGGTTTTTTAACAAATGATAGTTAGATGCTATAAGAGATACTTTTTTATAAGATTAGTTTCTTAAGAATAAGAAAAAAAAATATCTTTGGTAAAAACTTACAATAGGGTAGATTTTTGTTTTGTTAAAAAAAAGCATACACCAAAAGTTGTAACAATTTTGTGATCTCTTGTAATAATTAAGTAAAGAAAACTATATAAATAAATAAAAGTTTATTATACTAAAGAAGGGTTCCATTTAGCATTTATGCAGTTTTGAACTGTCACATTGTTAAACTTGCTCTCTAAAGGCAAATTTTGCTTGGGGGCTGCGCAGCCCCCATGATACCAGTTATGATTGTAAAATTTACGAAACCAGTTAAGGGTTAAGAACAATTCTAAAAGTGCACACTTCTAAATATATATAATTTGATTAATTTCAAAAATAAAACTTAATTATAAAAAAAAAGACACATTGTATACTTATTTTCTGAAAAATGATCAAAATACACGAAAACATTAAACAATAAAGGTATAAACTTTAAATTTTAATGAAACAATTTTAACAATAAATAACATTTCTTGACGTAAACATATAGAAAAGCACCTCAATTTGACTTAAACATGTGTGTATATATAAATATTAAAAATTCTTAACTGATAAATCTATTCAAATTAAATACGATTTGTTTGGAGCAGCTCAGACATCTGTGGGCCAATTCAAATAATATGATGACTAGAAACAATATTAAAAATGATTGTTTTTATTTCTGTGGCAGTGGTTCTAAAGCACAAATGGAATTAATTTATGCATTGAGATGTTTTAAAGTATGTTCACTTGCACGAAATGTTCAATCATAAATCCAAGTTTATCAAATTGTAATGAACACATAAATTATTAGAACATTTGTAATTTTGGTTTTTTATTATCCATATATACACAATTGGATGATATTCTGTTTCAAAATGAAAACCCAACGTTTATCTTGTAATTATTATTTTTTTTAATGGAATTTTAATTACATTTGTTCTTTAAAAAGACTAGTCAATTTTGTATTGCAACTTTGCGTTATTCCTGTATATACAATTTTTTCTCAATTTTTTTAAAGGACTATACATTAATAATATAAATACAGATACACAACGCACTGCAACAATGAACTAGTAAATAATACCAAATATCAATACTATAAACAGTATGAACTTTTACAAGATAACAGGTAATTTATAAAGTATTCTTTGGCAGGTGAATTGTACAAACATAGAAAAAACATTGGACATGTCAATTCAAAGTCTACATTATTTGCACGTAAATGATCCGGAAGTAATATATATACACACTTAGCCTTGGGCTAAATAAAGTTTTATAATTTACACAAGCTGCTAGGAAACGGTAGTCGAACGTGTACGCGGCCTCCGAGAAGATCGAGTATTAATGGTGGCTTTTGTGGTGTTGTTGGCCTGTTTTTTTCTCGCATTGCTTCTAGTCACTTTGGGAATGGAAGCGTTATTACTCCCAATGCCACCACTACTGCTCTTGCGACATTTTTTAAATAGAGGATTTGAAGATTCACAACACGAACATACTCTCTTCAGCATTTTTCCAGTGTCTCTTGATCGAGTTCTGCCACGAGTAAGATTCGTTTCTCTTTCATAGTGTTCCTTTTCCCATTTACAATGGTACATATTGTCCGACCTTGACAGAACACTGTCCTGATTGATCAATGCTTGTTTCAATGCATCCTCGTCGAACGACTCATGAATATCCGCTTGGGAAGATTTACAACCGTCTCCATCGTGGTTAATGCCCAGTGATAAACCTATTTTGTCTAATGACACCCCCCCTTTTAACTTGCAAACATCGTCCAGCTTTGGAGATTTCTCTATTCTGCATTCATTCAGCATGTGGCTTATGTCGGACAGTGCGGAAGGTGAACCGTTCCTGGACATTTCTAGTTCTTTAAAATTCTTATTCACTGGTTCAGAATTTATCTTCAGTTGTTCAGTTTTTTCGTATAACTCGGACAGTGCCAGCATTTTATCAGCTGTTTCATGCCTGTCGTTGATGATCACGTTCTTTTCAGCGCCATCCACTTTTGCACAGTCTGATTTCTTGTCCTTAAAAGTGTCTTGCAAACAATTTTCATTAACTACTTTCTCCTGCCCATCTCTGTTTGACAAATTATCCTTTTTGTTTTGGATAGAGCAATCTTTGATTGTTTTTGATTCTACATTATCACAAACTGTAAGCTTTTCTAATGATAAAATCTTTTCAAAATCGTTTTTATCGGAAGCCACGTTAGTATCCGATTTTAGTTTCACTCTGTGTGATTTTGCTACATTCTTTTCTGTTGCAACTGTCATCTTAACATCGTTTTTAGGACAGAACTTCATCTTGGCTTCGTTACTTGTTACTAGATCACTAGCTAATTTGTTTTCCAAAACAGTTTCTTTGGTGGAAGAAGAACACTTTGATGCATAACACATTCCTTCGTTATATTGAGTGTTTTTATCTACATTGTTATTGCACTGAACTGCTGTATCTTTCTGATTTCTTCCAACAATATAATCACTTTTAGTGTTGTAGTGGTACATACCCGATTTGTTTGCTACAGGTTTAATTGATGAACTGACGTGAACGGGTAAAGACAAGGAATCTGCACTGGCGGGCCGTTCAGTTGATTGTTGTAAGTTTTGAGTCGTACCTTGGTCACTACTCCATGATAAATTTTCCATTAAAAACTGTTCCAAGTCCTCTAAACTATCACTCGTTCCAGTTGAAAGAGGAGCAGAATGGTTGTTAGCCGAACAAAGGTTAGGCGGATTTTGAATAAAAGAAGTTATTGACGAATGTTTTGGAGGCAACTGTGTACACAACTGATTCGAATTGGACTGAAATGTAAACTCTGACTGTGGATGAGAAAACTGTGCAGAATGGTGTTTTGTTGTAGATGAAAACTGTCTAGCAGAAGGAATGAGAGATTGTGTAGGATAAGATGTGGTGGATGGTAACTGATCATGATGATTATTTGGTTCAAAGCGATGTTTCTCCGTTGGGTGTTCATCTGGAATATTTTTTTGAGGATTTTGTTTAACACACGATAATTCAGTTATAGTGTGATGCATATTTGAAGTGACAGATTGATTTTGCTTTGAAGAAATTTCTTCTTGAGTCTGTGGACGGCCACACAATGGAAACGGTTGTGCTCCCAAAGGAGATCGAGACATTTCATAATTTGAATTTGGAAGCTCATGGCATTGCTGTTCCGGTAATTTTTCCTGTTTCTGATATAAATTCTGTGTTTCTGTAATAGGTCTAACTGGAGATAATTCCATTTTGTGAACATTTTTACAATGTCTTCTCAAGTTATAAGCTGAAAAGAAACCACGTCGACACAGATCACACCAAAATCGATTTGAAGATGATGATGAAGAACTCTGATTTTGACTATTATCCTTTGTTCTTTTTGGAGTCTCTCTTTTCTGCTTCTTAACTTCTTCTGTTGTATCGTCGTTTGAAAGACTTTTTCGACACGTTTGCTTTCGATGGTCATCTTTTTCTGTTTCTTCGCGGGTATTAATCGAATTCGTCCACGTTGTTGAATTATTTGACTGAATTTGTTGAACTGATGAATTTGTCGAATTATAGCTGTCCAACATTTGACATGACGTAACTGATTGATATAACTGTGAAGTTTGATTTCCGTTCATTATAAGAGCATTTTGCTGCATTTCTAAATTCTCAGTTACATTGAAGCTGTCACACAAGGAAGCTGCTGTTGTATTATCTTGTTGATTTGTATAGCCCATATTGTCTGGAGTATCGTAAGGATATGCCTGCATGCCCTACAATAAAAATATTAAAACTTTTGTAAAATAATAAATTTATAGTAATCAAAATTTAATGAAAATTAACATTCTCTTTAACATTATTACTATAATTATTAAATTACTTATGCTTTCATCCAAAGTATATGTCAATGTTTTGATTGATTCTAAGAAAATTTGAAATAAAAAGAATAAAAAGTTTATATTTCGGATTCATATGATAATGTAAGATATATTTCCTATTGTCACAACATTAATCTCAATCAGCAACATTTTTTGTTTCAGTAATGAAGTCTAAATCCAAATGTATCAATCGTTACAGGCTTCAGATAATTTGTGTAGGAGATAATGCTATATAAGAAGTCTAGAAAACACTGCTTTAATATTTTAATAAGATTATAAATTTATTATAAAGCATTCCTTTTCCAATTTTGTTTTATTACTGTATAAGAATTTAATTATTAACTGAATACTTTACTATATTGTATTAAAACAATTCTGTTATTACAATTAACTTCTCTTTCTAAATTTCTAAACCTAATGTAGGTTATATAAGGAATATCCATAGAACAAAGATGCTCTACTATGATAACATTTTCCCAGTACTTTCTTTTCCAAGTAGGAAAAGGTTGAAAATTTTTAATTGTATAGGAAACCTAAAAAGGATCTCTAAACGAATCCTTGAAATAGAAAAATTTCTTGATATAAAAGTATAAAATACTTCAACACTATTCTTTCGAAATATAAATATTTAACATGATTTAAAGTATTGTTTGCAGCATTTCGTACAATCAAAGACAGATTAATATAGATATATATATATATTAATCTGTCTTTGATTGTTTATAATTCTCATTGTGCGATCATTAAGTTCACTCTTCTTTAACTGTAATACAAAGTAATTTAATTCTGCATATTATTATATCATTTGTGCATTTCATTAGGGAATCTGTGCTTAACATCACTAATAAAATTTAAAGATTTCAACTTATCTGTGAAATCTTAACATCTAATGTAGCCAATATTTTCAGATTGTTTAATTTTAAGATAAATGTAATGCATTATTTCATGTATTCATAGCCATATACTTGATGTCATTTATGCACAATATGAGGAAACATTTTGTCTATTTTCAGTCGCATAGAGGGGGTAATGACCTAAGATTAATGATGATATAAAAGAAAAATTGTATTTTAAATAGGATGTCGTGTTACATCTGGTATGCAAGCTTGTTTCATAAATGCTAAATGCTTAGTAAAAACCTCTTTTGAGAACAATGTAAATAAAACTGATTGTTGTCAAAACCTTAATATCTATCTAGTCAAACTTGTAAATCTCACAATCAGCAGTTCTGACATAATGCAAACAGCATTTGCTACAAGTTTCTACAGATTTTTTAAAATACTTTCACTAAATTCTCTAAAATAATACAAATTAACTGATGTGGATTAAAGCTGTTAACATTTGTAATATTGAATATATATATTAATTGATTAGATGCCATTTATGATAAAATTCTTTTAACAATTTATAAAATTAATTTTGATCATCAAAATTAATTTACAGAAATCAACTTTACTTGATAGCATTCAAACAACTATTCTGTAAGATAATTAATAAGATAATTGCTTGATATTCTTGAATATTCTTTTAATTACAGAACGACTGCACTTATTTACAATAATTAGTATTAATTTACACCAATTTCAAAACTAAGGAAAATATTGTAAATAAAAAATAATCACCCTAAAACNATACTGGAAAACAGATTATATAATTGAAATGTAAATTCTGACTCATAATAAACATTAATATAAGATTATGAAAATTTTGTTAGTGTCAAATTCTAACATCATTGAAATGTGTAGTTAGACTGAATTACAAACTGATTGGAAGAAAGTTTATTTTTAAGAAGAATAACAAAACTTTAGACAATCATTGCTTTGTAGGAGTGACAAATTATTTTTATTTTTAATTGCAATATTTAATTTGGCAGGTTTAGATTTTTATTGTAGGTTAATTATTTTAAGTTTTATAATAATAATAATAGAGTAGATTCTTGAAATAATGTATTCTTTATCTGAAAGTAAATTTAAATTAATATATTTCTTCACATCTATTGAAATATAATTTATATAACATCTATTTAAATTATCTTAGTAATGATTTGAAACTTATAAACAAACTAATTTTAACTGTTAACACCAATGTTCATTTTTACCTGACTCTCTGCACCTGCAGTTTCATCATCCATCACCATAAGACTCACTCTGACTGCATCACTAATGGAAGACAGAGAACGATTTGGTTGTTCCATTAACAGAAGATTATTCTCTATATTTCCATCTGAAATAACTTCAGATCTTCCAGAAGTTATTATTGGTTGTAATGTTCTTTCTTGTGAATGATGCACTGAAGATGAACATTTATTCTCAGTATTCAGAAGTTCAGGAGTATTGTCAAATTGCTGAACAGTAGTGTTTGTAATTGAAGTAATCATGTTAGAGTCACTAACAGTAGTACCACTGCAACTTGTCACAGCTGTCAAATTACAGTTCACTGTATTGGCACTTTCTTTTTGCATAGTTTTCAACACTGATATATCTGTTCCACATGTATTAATTGTTTCACATGTATTAACAGTGTTCCAAGTAACCTGTGGTTTCTGAGTTGAAATTTGATGGCATGGAATTTCAGTAGATGAAACAGTGAGAGTACGAGAATATGATAGATCAATGGCTGGATAAAATGATTTTGTTGAAGATACACAATTAGATTTTGTCAGTTCTAAATATTTTGAATTATTTGCAACAGCTGGAGTTGGAGTTATGGTCGTAGAAATGGTGGTGGTTGTGGCAACAGGTATTACATTAGAATTTTTATGATAAGGTTTATCTTTGAGCATATTCTGAATGTTTGATTGTATGTTTGTTGAGTGACATGAAGAATTCACAGATGAACATACAACTGAAATATTTGTATTATTTTTGATCACATTTGATTGAAGGGTTGGTAACGGAGAAGGTAAACTATTGATTTCTGTAGGATGAATTTGTTTAAGAGAATTATTAATTATATTAGAATCACGTCGATTTTTTTGTGTGAAATTTTTATTTCTTCCTGACTGACTTGGTTTTTTTGTTTTAGGAGGGGGAATGGAAGGCAAAATTATTTTCCCAGCATCATTTTTACCTACATTAATGTCCTTATTATTTGAATTATTATTTCGTACAATAATAACACCTGGAATAGTTACAGGTTGCTGATTACAGTTGACTACAGAAGGTTGGTTTTGAACTAAGGCACTAGTAGGGAAAACATTCTTCACACCAGTACAGTTCAAACTTACTGGAATAACAAGTCTTCCTGCCAATAAACGATTGCCTGCCCCATTCTGTGGTGGAGGAGCAATTGGAATTGTAAGAGTAGCTACAGTTGGCACATTTTGAGGAATATTATCAGAATGATTCTGAAATGTTTCAGTTCTGTTGGTTACTATAGGTATTGTGTTCTGCACTGTTTGAGGAGGAGAAATAACAACTGATGGATTAGGAACAGTACCAGTTATAACTGTTTGTTGATTTACTGGTTTGTTTTCTATACATGTTGTCATTTGATTTAAATTAGTTTGAGAAATTTCATCAGTAAAATTAACTGTGGGATTATTTGTTGATACAATTTGTTTATTCACACCTGACATATTCAATCTAGATACAACTGTATGTCTTTTTTCAACAAGCATACAAGTTGAAACAGTTTCTCCAATAGTATAAGTATTGTTTATTGGTTCTCTTATTGGAGCTAAAATTTTTGTATGATCACCTATAGTATTTAAATGAGCAATATTTTTTACTACTGCATTTGATACATAAAAGTTATTTGCATCATTTGAAGTTGTTTCTTTTCTGAGTGAAGGTGGAGTATCATTTGCATTAAAAGATGGTTTATGTGGCATTGATGGTGGCATTAAAACAGGCATAGTTTGATGATATATAGCAGGAGCTGTGCAAGTCTGATATGATGATGTAGTATTACATATTGAATTTGTTGCTGGAATATTTTCATTCTTCGAACTTTCAATTATAGATAGATTTTCTTCTAATGATGTATTTGGAAGAGAACATTCATTTGATTGAGTTAAACTCTTTGATGATAATAATACACTTTTATTAGTATTCTGCAATAATTCAGTTCCAGAAGTAATCATACTATAAGAAGTTATACAGTTTTTAGTTATATCTTCAGATTTTTGGAATTTTTTATTATCTTTCTTATGTTTTTTCTTAAAAGCCTTTAGTGCCTTTAGTTTCTTAAGCTTATTTTTAAGTTTAATTTTTGATTTATTCTTTTTAATCTTTTTATTTTGATTAGAAGTTTTATGTAATTTTTTCATGCTAGCTTGCCTCTGTGTAAGTAGATCAGAAAGAACCATAATTGGATTAATAGATGGAGGTAAACAAGATGTTAACATAGAGGAGTTTTCACAGAACTTTGAGCTCATTGCAAAATCAGCATGGAATTTTGAAACTAGTATACCAGTATTGTTTCTTACCATAGTAGCTAAATCAACAGAGCCCATTTGTGTCTCTGCTGATGCCTGTATAGAGTTAGTTTTATCAGATTTTTCTCTGACTTTTTTATGAAACTTTTTCTTTTTCTTTTTGATCTTTTGTATCACTTGACAATTATTTTCAGATTTCTTGCTAGAATCTTCAAGCTCCTTTTCTCTTCTTAACTTTCTTTTCTTCTTTTTCTTTTTCTTTTGAAGTTCCTTTAATCGAGATTTCTTTTCATTTTTATTTGATTTTGATTTCTTTTTATTTCCGTCTTTACGATTTCGTTGTCTATGATGAGACTTTTGTTTACCATTTGAGAATACATTGCTATGAACTCTATTTAATAGATCAAATGGAAGTTTGCCATTTGCTTTATTTAAAAGTTTATCTAATAATATTGAATTATTTTGTATTTTATTATTATTATCACATGTCAATCTTTCTGTTCTAGAAATTAATTCATCATCAGATAGAGAATCTATTTCACTGTCTGCACTTTCATAACAATTTGTGTGAGCGAATAATGTTCGTAAAGCTGATGCAGTTTCTAAATAATCTTTACATATTTGTTTCATTTCATCCCATGAATGTGAGAATTTCAAATAATGTATTCTCACATTTTCTAAAACTGTAACAAAATCTTTTAATTGATCCACTTTAATGCCTGCTATTTCAGTATCAAGAATTGAATGATGATACTGATACTGTGATAAGCATTCACTTGCATCAATTTCTTTGTTTGGTGTTGTACATATTTCTTCACAAATACATTCAGTTTTTCTCTTTACATTATTTTCAGTTTGTTTATTAGAACTCTGGGACAGTTTATGTAAAAGTTCAAGTCTTTCTTGTGTTGGTTCAAGTGAAAATGCACTTAATATACATTCATGTGCAATTGTTTCATGATTTATAAATAGTGAAGCAAGTTTAGTAAATATAGTTGCCATATGACTTTCCATTTCTAATACAGCATTGCGATCATCAGCTTGTCTAGCTGCCTCCAGATGATTCAAATCAGCAGTTAAACCATGTATATACATCTCCAAATATAATGAAAGGAATCTCAGTCCAAACTGAAAGAAATATAATATTTTAGTTTAAATATTAATTTAGTGAAATTATTAAATCAATATACTTAACTAAATTTAGCATATAAAACATCATAGTTAAAATAATCAATAAAATTTCTTTCAAAATAATTGATTAATTTTCTTCAAAAATATTAGGTTTCATGAAATATCCTAACTATTAAATAAATAATATATAATATAATATAATATGAAATACTGCAATTAGATTTTTGAACTAAACTGAAAAGTTACAATTCAAAACTTATAGTTTAACTGAAGAAGTTGTTTTGTGATATAAGCTTCATTATAATATAAAATGTAAAAGTAATTATGAAATTTACAAATAATTATCAAGTAATGTTTATTACTTATAAATTCATCATAAAAGCATTAGAAAGTAACATAAAATATGTAAAAGCATCCATTAATACCTTTAATCCAGTTAAAAGGAACCAATTTATTACAAGAACAAACATTTTCAATGTTTATAACCTTAATAATAAATAATGCTTCTGGCCCATGACTTAATTTAGATAGAATTAGATATCCTAATAGACATTAATACAATCATAACACAAGTAGTAAACCAAGACTTGTGCTATGATTGTATTAATGTATGCTGGTGTGTGCTGTATATGTAAGCTGATGAGGGGTCTTTGTACCCAAAATGCATTCTTACCTAGATTTAATTGGGGTTATTAAAAACTAATTTTTTGTAAAATCTAGTCTATTTATTCCAGTCAACCCTGATGTGATAAGCCCTCCAATTTATTACAACCCTATTTATTAGGATATCTAATTCTATCTAAAGTTTATAACCTTATTTATATTTTCAGTTATTTTTCTTTTTCTTCTTTTTATATTTGCTACTTTTATTTATATCTGTTTTATTGTTTTATAATTTATTTAAATTTTTCTTTACCATTCTTCTACACATGTGACTACCAGCATGAATTTAAAGAGTTCCATTTTATTTAAATTTTGTTCAATGTAAGATTCTATACTTGACAATGGCTATTAAGGACAATTGAAAACATTTGTTCTTATAATAAATTGATTTATTTTAACGTAATTACAGGTCTTAGTGTGTACTTTTATTATAATTTCATCTAGTTTTGCAGTATCATGTAATCTTTTATAATTCTTTTATAAAATGCATTATGAAAGAATTATTACTATAGATAAATCAATTCATTACAACAGATCAGACATCATATTCATTGACAAATTAGAATAGAATCACATATATCATAGATATGTCAAACCCAAAAAATTACATTATATAGAATAAAATTGATAATTGAAAATAATATGTATACAGATCTCAGCTACGAAATAAAATACCAATGTAAAATGAATAAAGATATTTATCTATCTGTAATTCTCTCTTTCCCAAGTATTATATCATACTACACAAAGCAACAATATTAAATACAAAAAGTCAAGAACACTTAACATACATACATAAACTGACAACACAAAACATGACAAAACAATTATTTTTAGTAGCTATTCCTTGGCTTTGATCCAGCATAGCATTTGGCACAAATATCAACTGAGTTTCACATTTACATCATCAGGTGATTTAACACTAAACAATTATATACTAGTTAGAGCACTGCAATTAGAGCTACAAGTAATTTTTTACAAATTTTAAGAAATATAACTGTCATTCGCACAGTATTTATATACTTTGTACAGGATACATTTTTTTAAAAGCAGTATTTGGTAGCTATATAATTTTTATATTATGAAATTAATTATCTTTTTTTTCCTAAAATAATCATAAGATAATGTATAAAAATGTATATACATAAACATTAAAAAAAAAAAAAACAACAACAACATATTATACCAGATGACATAAAATTCCGCCATAAACCTATTGACCAGTGTCGATAACACATATACATTGCACAAACATTTTCGGGATTCTCCGGAATCCTGCTTCAGGTGAATCTCACTGTTTCATTGATGAAACACAATTTCAAACATAAGATTCAAATGACCATTAAATAACAAACGAATTTAAAACAAATGGAAGTCATTGGAGCGCCTGCACATAAAGGCCTGCCAAGCTGCCAAGAGAGAAAGCTCCTCCTTGTAATTGATACATGTGCTGTTTATATTTGCTTTAAAAATGTCTAAAGCTTCTAAATATCTAAGCCATTTAGTTCATTGCATTGTTACTAGGATGCTAGTCTTTTGTAAATGTACTTCTATATCTGGTTCTGCAGTATATATTGACAGGGTCATAGAGAGCCTTGACTACCTTATATGACAGTGTGCTCTTGCAGCCTCTTACCTACTGCTTTTTGTGGAGCTTACATATAGGCAGTCTCTATCGAGTCTCCTGTCTTTCAGAGGTATACAGTACACTCCTGAAAGCTTATGGGGGTGGACAGATCCTTCGCATTCCTAAAGAGAGTGAAAATGGTGAGACATCTCTTATACATAATATTTATTTATTTATACTTCCATCCTCTTCTGAGGTTGGTATTTAATACTGTACCAAAAAATGGCCATAAATATTACTTATAAGAGATGTCCCATAATTTTCACTCTTCTTAGGAATGCAAAGGACATGCCCCCCTCCTAAGTTTCCAGGAGTGTACTGTGTGCCTCTGAAAGACAGGAAATTCGATAGAGACCGCCTGTATATAGACTCCACAAAAAGACCAGCAGGTAAGAGGTCGCAAGAGTACACTGCCATATAAGGCAGTCAAGGCTCTCAATGACCCTGTCAATATACACTGCAGAACCAGATATAGAAGTACACTTACAAAAGACTAGCATCCTAGTAACAATGCAATGAACTAAATGGCTTAGATATTTAAAAGCTTTAGACATTTTTAAAGCAAATATAAACAGCACATATATCAATTACAGGGAAGATCTTTCTCTCTTGGCAGCTTGGCAGGCCCTTTATGAGTTGGCACTATAGTTTTGTTGTTGTAGAACCTCTTGTGCAGGCACCCCAACGACTTCTGTTTGTTTTAAATTTGTTTGTTATCTAATAGTCATTTGAATCTTATGTTTGAAATTGTGTTCTATCAACGAACAACACTCTGGATGATCCCAAAAAATGTTCATGCAATGAATGTGTGTGTGTTACCAACACCAATTAATATGTTTATAGTGTAATTTAATAAAAAAAAAAAGTTTGCTGCTTACCTTTTCCCATAAACAATCTATAAATAAATAAAAATGAGCACTGGTTGATGCATGATGCACTAACAATTTATAAGAAGCCTCTTTGATTTCTCCCAGTGTTCGCTCTTGTTGAATTTGCACTTCACACCATAAATTCATTAATTCCTAGATTTAATAATAATGTAATAAATATAACCATAATGATAATTTTCAACAAATCATTTTAGCATACTAAATTAATAATTATATCAATTAAATTTTCACATATTTTGAAATTTTAAAATTGGTTTAAGTTAATTAAGTAAAAAAAATTTTTAATTAAATTCCTAAAATTATTTTTTAGTATTCTTTTCTTCATTATTATTATCACTATTAAAATTCATAATATAACAGCAATTTTAATTAATAAAATAATCAAATAATTTAAATTTTGTCATTTATCTCAGGATGATAAATTTCAGTTTTTGATATGAAAGTTTCTTAACAGTTAAATTTTTGCATAATCTTAAATTAATATTTAACATGTACTGTACAATAAGTTAATAGATACTTTTAAAATGATTATTTATTTTCAATATTGGTCTGCATTTAAATATAGATATAAAATAATTATTGCATTTTGGTAATAATTTTAGCAATAGACTTCATTTCCATGTAAACAGAATACATTAGTTTCAACTTAATTTTTTACATTCAAATTTTTTCAAAAATTTTTCTAAGAATTAAAATTCAGGATTTTTATAATAAACTGAAAAATCAATAATCAAGTTAAAACCAATTTGCTTCATTCAAGAACAGCATTGTGGAATATGTACCAAAAATGAATATGTTTTTATTTTAAATATATATGGAAAAGTAAATGACCCTTTTCCAAAATTTTAAAACAGAGGTTATCCGTTAATTGTGTGTACAGTTTAAAAGGAAGCGGATTGCAAAAAGTACATTACTGTATATAATGCTCTGATACCACTAAAAAAGTCCATGCAATGCTTGGACTTTTTTAGTGGTATCAGGAGCCCACAAACTGTTCTTAAAAGCTTACTTGCCATGTGAATAAACTCTCAGAAAATATTTGCAGAACTTTTTAAAGTAATTTCTTGAATGTTAGGGTATCTGTGAACTAGTGTTATATAATTAAAGGAGAGAGGGTTTGCCAAAAGTAAGCCTTATATCATTGTACATGATGAGGAGGGGCATAAAAACTATACATATAATTACTGGACAGCCCATATCTACTGATTTTTTTATGATAATATATGAAATCCTTGGCAATTATATATTAAACAACAGCTTTAAAAAATTAACATAGCTTGACAATTCAAATTGCAAATAGTGTAATAATCAAACAAGTATGGGTAATGCTAATTTTTTGGCATCCAGTGGTTTTTGCACATGATTAAATGTTTCTTGAAATATTTCATCTTGTCTACAGATCCTTTCAAATAAAATTTGAATAAAGAATGAAAAACCTCCAGGCTCCTAAAAATTTAGCATTATGTTTCTATTTGTTTTACAAGAAAGTTATATGTACAGGAAAACTGATAACACCAGACATATATGCCAATGATTAGGAAAGTGGCTGAAGTGATTTTTCACTTAACCCCTTAACATTTAACAGTTTTAGTGTAATGAATTTTTCTGTAAAATGCCTATTTTTCAAGTTATTCCAGTAGGCTGATTAAAATAAACCATCCTGTATACATACTATTGTTATTATTATTTTCATTTATTAATCTTGTATACTCCATTTTTTGTTCACACTCCAAGTTTATGTTCTTTTTTTATTGTAGAATATACAGTAGAGCGTCGATTTTCCGAATCAATTGGGGACTGGGGTTGTTCGTATAACT